CGACCACCAACCCCATCCCAGCCGGCCCCACCGGTTGGGAGGAGCCCTCGCCGCCCACCATGCGCCGCATGATGGCCGTGGACAACGGGACTGCGGCCTGGGGCGACCCCGAGGCCCACAACCGCCGGGTGTCGGAGCTGGGCAAGAGGGGTCAGCAGCTGAGCGTTAGTGCCTTGCAGAACACCACAGCCCAAATGAATGTGCCAAAATCCCCCGGGGACCCTCCCGGGGGGACCAAGGGGTGGTCGGAGCCACCGCCGACGCCGTCTGCTTTCAAGCCCTCGGGGTGGGGAGACACCCCCACCTCCGCGGGGAGCCCGTACGACAAGGGTACGTCCATCTGGGGAGGTAAGACCTCCAGCTCGAGCTGGGGAGACCCCGGGGAGGCTGCCTGGGGAACCTCCGTGTCCAGCGCTACACACAGTAAATCTGGGTCCGAATCTATGCAAGACGGGTGGGGCACGGAGGGGGAGGGCAGCAGCACCCCCGGGTGGGAGGAGGACGAGGCCTTTGGAACGTGGAGTGTCAGCGCTTCTCAGGAAAGCAACTCATCTTACGGCAGTGGTGGATGGACTAACGTGGGTGGAAAGAAAAAAGTAGTAAGTGTTTGTCCAATCATATTGTGTCAATCTCTTTCTCTCTCCCTCCCTCTCTCTCTCTCTCTCTCCCTCTAGCAGTATTCATACTGTTTCATGCGTTGTGTTCACAATTGTGTTAATTTTTGTTGAATATAATGTTTGCATTTGCTGGCTATTATTTTTCTGTTTCACCCTTCAAAATGATGTGATGTAATGTTATGTCTGAGTGCTTTTATTTCATGACGATAGAGTCCATTCCGTGTCACCGAGTGGGTTGTTATTGTCATTATTTAGAAATGTTTTGAATTCTTTGTAATTGTTTGTCTAAGAAATTTCATAATTTGGAAATATTTTGAACATCTTGTCAATATTCTAAATAATTCCCTGGTTTTCTAAAACGTTTGAAATATTCCTGATGTGGAATATGACATTTCCAATAGTTTCTAAATATTTCTAACAGCACTCTACCATTTTTTACCATTATTTCGAATTATTTCTAACATTTTGTAAATAGGTCAGTGGGATGGGAAGGAAGTAATTCACACATCCCTGTGAAGTACAGGGTAGACTGCCTGGGTGTTAGGCATTGATGCCTTACAACAAAAGAGCCACCAGTGTCCAGCAGTGAAATCTAAAAATATACAGAAGAATACAGAAGAGTAGGATTAGCACCTACTTTTATGGGGGCAATTACCCACATCTACCATTTTTCATTTGTTTGAAATAGTTCTAAATATTTAGAATAGTGAAAGAAACACATGGGTAGTTCAAATTTATTCTAAATAAAGAGATCTTTGTACAGTCACTTTCAAAATGTTTCAGAAGTATATAAATGAATTCAAATATGTTCAAATTTTCATTTTCAAATTTTTGAAAAATTTAGAACTTTTGTTACTAGGGTATTCTTTTCTTCTAAATAATTCAAACGTATTAGAAACATGGAGAAAAAACCCACTCGGTGACGCGGAATCGACTCTATTAGAGCTCTATTATAAGTTATAACATGACAGTTGTGAATTCACTATTCTTACTTAGTAAAGATTTTACTGATTGTGTTGCTGTCTGTTTTGTCTGTTCAGAGTGCTAAACCTGTGGTAAAGGACTCCAGCATGTGGAACAATCGACAATTGAAGCAGCTAGTAGACATGGGATTTCCAGTAAGTACAAAATTTCACACCCTTTTGTTTATCCCAGGATATTGCCACACAAACTTAAAAGTTAAATTTTATTCTGGACATGCACCTGTTCTATAGTGAAAATCTTTTCTCAACAGATACTGGGATAATGAATGATATGCAACAATGCTGTGTGATCACAAATCAAGACTTTACTAGTATATGTTTTTCTAAATGAGGAAATAGATGTATTTTCTGATGAAACTTTTATTGTTATATGACATATTCAAACTCCCCTTACTTTCGAATTTATTGGCCCAGTCTCATGGATTATAAATGCTTCTGGTTTTAAGTTTGTTTTCTATAATACTCTTTTGTTATTCCTACAGAGAGAAGATGCTGAAAAGGCTCTGAAGACCAATAATAATAACCTTGAAAGTGCCATTGGTAAGTTTGTTTTTACTTCCTGTTGTTCAACACTGAATCTGAAATTGCTTGCATGAAGTTCTCCATGAAATAAGCTTTCATGCATGTAAAATGACTTCCAAAGGAAAAGCTGTTACAGTATAAAAATGTGTGCTATAAGTTACTATGAGCCACTCAATTTTAAGCATCTTGTATTAAAGAGTGTGCACATGTCATGGAAAACGTTACACGAGTGGCTGGATAATAACACTAATCTCCATCACCTGATTTGCAGGGGCTTTGTTTTCGTATTTTCATCCAGGTGTCCTGCTTCAAAAGAACGGTGTGGAAAGCAACAGCCACCTTGACTCTGACTCAGGAAAAGACAACCGCAACACCAACCGTGTATTGCCAGTGGGTCGTCAGAAGCGCTTCTCTTCCAGAGCCGACGACCAGATCCCAGTAACATCGCATGACGAAGATGATTCCTCTGCCTTCATTCCTATTTCACAGCCCAATCAGATTCTCAAAAATCCTTCGCCCATTCCACCTGGCCAACAAGCTGGCATGAACAAACAGGGTGTGAACTACAACTTCAGTTTAACCAAATTCAGGTGCCATGAGCAGTATTACTTCTTCAAGTGCAACTCCTACACTG